TGGCCCCTCATGGATGCGTGCCAGCATAAAAGTTTCTCGAACAGCTTGCCTAGGATCGAAGCAAGACTAACTGGCCTATAGTTTCCCAGGTCCTCCTCCTTCCCCTTTTTGAAGATGGGAACCACATTGGCCCTCTTCCAGTCCTCTGGCACCACACCAGAGCACCACGAGTGCTCGTAAAGCCATGCCAGGGGTCCTGCAATGACCTCAGCCAATTCTTTTAGTACTCTAGGGTGGAGATCGTCCGGACTGGCTGACTTGAATACATCCAGTCTCTCCAGAAGCTCCCTAACTACTTCCTCACTAACGCTTGTACCCAGGTGTGCCTCCCCTGGGGCCTGAGGGGGACCTAGCGGGGGGTAGCTGTTCTGGTCCCTGCTTAGGAAAATGGAAGCAAAGAAATCGTTAAACATGTTGGCTTTGTCGTCTGGTGTGATGACCAAATTTCCTAACATGTCCTGCAGGGGCCCCACATTACTTGGAACCTTCTTTTTACCCCCTATGTATTTAAAGAAGGACTTCTTATTGTCCTTAATCCGGGAAGCTAGTCCCAGTTCCATCTCTGCCTTGGCCTTCCTGACTGCCCTCCTACATCCCCGAGCAACTGCAGAATAGTCATCCCTGGTGATGTCTCCTCCTTTCCACTGGGCGTACGCCTCCCTTTTAGCTAGGAGACATTCCCGGATGCTTTTGGTGAGCCATGAGGGCTTGTGTGCCCTCCTGCCCCCTTTGATCCTCGTTGGGATTACCTCTCTTTGGGCTTGGAGGATCGTACCTGGAGAATGTATTCATAATATAATAAGTATTCTTGCAGGAGTGGGCCCAACTTTCTTGGTGAGTGGGAAATTGGGAATTAAACTCTGATAGAGGTCTGTGTCCTAGTAATAGCTTAACCGGTCAGAGATGATTCATCACATACTTATTTCTCCCTGGAGTAAGAACAGGCGAGAACTTACCTGGACTTTGTATTTGCAACAAGTTCTTATAGGTTTTTCAAATCTGAATGTGACATTCACACGCTGCTGCAACCCTTTCTGCAGATATAAGACAGAACAGTGATGAGGAAAGGCAGAAAATAAACAGACTGGAAGTTGGGGTTGAGGGGGCAGGGGAAGGGAAACAGGTGAGAGCAAACCATGCGAGTCAAAGGATATGAAGATACTGAGCAAGGCAAAGGGAAAGTTTCTAATTAGTTTAGGCAGGAGAAAAGAGCTACCACATAGCAGCTCCAGAAAAAGATTGTCACTCATATTATAAACAACTGATAGGGCACTGAGGTTGCAGAGTTAAGTACTGAAACCTGAAAATATTGAAGTTAAAGTGGGACATAAGCTAGAAAGCTTGTACATTGAACAACTTTAAACCTGAGATACAAGACTCTTAACCCAGAGGCTCTCTCTCCATTATTACTTGTGGTACCTGAATATGCAGGTAAACATCATGTATAATCTATAAGAGACGACCAGTATCTTGCTGGGGTTATATATTCCTTGCAGTAACTGGTAGGGACTTTTTGTTTTTCAATTAGACATTATTCCTCTGTCAGACTGTTGTATATAGCATTCTAGCAATTCTACTATGTATCAGTGCACTGAGAGAAAGAGGAATGTGGATCTAAACAGGATGGGACAGATTAGCAGTTATAAATATGTAGACTTCACATTTAAACCCCTGATAGAGGGTTGGAACAGATGTCAATATTTGAGAGATTTTTCTTCAAGGTTTCCCAAATACTGCTATGTGGAGATCTTCATTTGGACTACATGGATTCCAAGTCCAGAAGTGACTACTGATCATCTAGTCCAAGTTCCCTCATAACACATGCCTTAAGATCTCCCCAAATTCATTCCTATTTGAATGGCAGCATCTGTTTTAGAAAAGCATCCTGCTGCGATTTAAAAAAATTGCCACTGGGCTGGAAATCCATTACACTTGGCAAGCTGCTCCAATAGTTTGTTATTCTCAAAAAATTGTTCTTTATTTTTAGCCCACATTTATCTAATGTTAGTTGCCGGGTGTAATGGATCTCATTTACTTTTGCCTGCTAGACCGAGAGTTGATCATCAAATTTTTGTTCCCCCGTAGGTATATATAGACGAATGAAATCACCCCTTAATTTAATTTTAAAATAAAAATTGAGCTCTTTAAGTCTTTCTATATAAGGCACGTCTTTCAATCCTCCTACCATTTTTCCAGTTCTTCTCAGAAGCTGGATTCTTGTCTGCCTGAATCCCCAAAACAAAGCCAGACACAACTATGAGCTCTCCCTGGGTTTTGCCTTTACCATGCTATTCAGTAAATGTAGAGAATGATTTTGTTTAGAGTGGTTTCAGTACAGATGTGGAAGGGAAAGTGATTACCTCAGAGATATCCTGCGTGGTTTTTTTACACGAGTTCTGCTCATCTTGGGAACTGGTCACATGGATCCGGTATCGGGCTGGCTCCATCCCTGGGCTAAAACTCACCAAAAAAGATTTGTCATCCAGACTTTCAAAATAAATGTTAGGTTCCCACAGACTGCCTGCAAATAATAAAGATATTTCAGAATTACAAAACCTTTCTAGGCAGTCATATGGGGGCACCAATTCCCACTGCTATGACAAGTACAGCCATGCTTTACCTGTCTGCAAACATGGTATGGTTCTTTTCATCAGAGGATCCTTGCAATCTGCAGGAAAAGGAGATGCTGTTGGTTTTTCACACTGAGATGTTGCACTTACATTTAGAATATCAGAACGCAAACAATTTTTGATCCACCAAAAAAGCATCAAAACAGAACAATTAAAATAGTATTACTGTAGCACAAGTATGAGCCATTTCTTTTAATTACACCATTTTTAGGATCCTCCGAAGACAAGGATCTCTTTTCAGAGGAAACAAAAAACTTACATCCATTCTATAATCTTCCCTTAACATTTGGGTCATTTATACACATACATTTTTGTGCAGGTAGACTGTGGAGATCTGGCAGATAGACTTGATTAATCGAATCTGCTCAGTTCCATACACAAGCTGACAGGCATGTCACTGCGTTGCTTGCAGTTGTATAAGCAGCAAAATGTGTGTCAGCATGGAGGAAATGGTGGTGGTTCACTTTTGAACTACACCACCTTCTATGTATTTTACTTCAAAAGCAGACTGCTGTCATTTTCTTAATACTGACGTGCATTTCACCACTTATACAACTGCAAGTGATGCAGCACTGGGCGCTTTTCAAAGCGCCTGGCTCTGTAGTTCCTGCATGTGTAAAAATACCCTTAATGAGGGAAGGTCTGTGCAAAGTGAGACACCTGGTATTGAACTCTAAAAAGGCATGTCATGATTTCATATTCATCTCTGGAGGCAGCAAAATTCACAGCCACAGACCCCATCCCACCAAAGATATTCTGTCAGCATTTTCTGAGCTCACAGCAGGTCCACCAGCTGGACTATCTTTGCTGACCATAATTCTTCTGCACTTATGGTGTTTCCCTCTGAGACTGACTTGACAGATTATATTTTTGAGTCTGCATAATATCAACAGCATGATGGACCTTAAACATACACAAACAAAAAACACTCAAGCTTTACAACTCCCAACCTGTTTTTTTCGGAGCAGCTAAACCAGGGGTGGGCAAAGTGCAGCCCGCGGGCTGGATGCGGCCCACCAGGCCATTCTATCTGGCCCGTGGGGCCCCTAAAACATTTAGAAAATTAATATTTATTTGCCCCTGGCTGCCTGTCATGTGGCCCTTGATGGCTTGCCAAAAGTCAGTAAGCAGGCCTCCACCCAAAATAATTGCCCGCCCCTAAGCTAAACCCAACAGAAAGAACAACTCTGCCCACTCCATCCTCTAGCAAAACTGGAGGCCAGAAGCTAGGCGATAGTATTTCTGATCAGCTGGCCACACAGCATGTAAGGACTTGTGTACACCATCTACTTCTGTAGGAGCTACTGCTATCTAGAATGAAAAATTTAACTACAACAGATCTGACTCTGTGAATTGTATTACGAGTAAAGCTTTACTTTATAGGATGCTATTCACACAGGGTTCTGGAAGCTTGGCTATGAAGGGTCTGCCATGAATTGTTGTACATACTTTGCTTAACCCTTTGCGTACATCAAAGTAGCAGCTTGTTACTTTGGAAGCACAGACTTTCTGAACATTAGTTTTTTGAGAAAAGCAAGTTTTATAATTCTTTCACCTCCCTGCACCCTGTAATGAATCTTACTTGCGACTCATGAATCAGTTTAACTAGTCTGGTTTAGAAAGGTATAAAGCCACTTATAGAACTGGCAAACTGGTATTCCAATCTCAAGGCCTAGTAGAAACCATCAGAGGATTCCCTACCAGGCATTTTGAAAGACTTGGATTTGCAGTTGTGGTCTCCATTTACACCCAGTTTGGGCAGATGATGAACAGTCACTTGGTACGGCTGGCCAGGCTCCACTTCAAAGCGATCAAAAGTGAAGTTCCACTGAAACAAAGGATAAGATAGTCTCATTCTCACAACTGAACTGTCTAGTCACTGAAATTATCAATTCTTTTCTCTTTCCCATAGTTCATCCTTTTCTTCAGCCATGATAAGCAACAGCTTCCAAGTTAATTGAATATTGTCTGTCTCTTGGACCTTGCCTCCAAAACTCTCTCGGTTTGGAATGGTAAAGCCTGAGTCATGCTAAGGAACTATTGGCCTACGATGGCAAGGGTGCACTCAGCTGCATGCCTAGTTTTACTCAAGTTAAAGTGCTGAACTGAAGACAGTTTAGATTGTAATAAAGGCAAGTTATGATTAATGGCATTTATACAGTTTGAGAGGAAAATTTTTGTGCTGCCAAGTAGTTGTATGTATGGCTAAGTAGTTGCTGTGTTTTGTCATTTCTCATTTCTGCTTCTTTACCTACAATGTTCTCACAGATGAGAGAGGAGGCAAAACTCCTGGGAAAGATCTGTATGCTCCTGAGCTGTTGTCCCCAGTACTCTTCTGCTTAATCTCAAATAGTCCCAAGAACTGAGCTCAAGCTGTTCCCAAAGGGAGCTGTGGATGGATGAGGCAGTTGGAAAGGAAATAGCGTAGAAAGAGCAAGCAGTCACTGCAGGGCTTCCTTTCCTGATATAGCAAAGAAGTAGCTTGATGATACAAAGAATGAATTAAAAGCAATATATTTACATCATACCATTACTTTTTCATAGGGAATAATGGTTGTTAAGATTATTTTTATTTCAGCAGCACTGTACAAGGCACCATACAAACATACAGTAATTAAAAGTCTCTGTTTTTCTTTGCCAGAGGACAGTTATAATCTAAATAACAAAGGGTAGGAGAAAAGGAGCATCAGCACCCCAATTTTATAGATGGGAAAGAGAAGAGGACATGACTTGTACAAGGTCACATAGAAAATTTAAGCCGAGTTGGAAAATGAATCTAGATCTCTCAAAGGAAAGGGCTGAAGCTCAGGACTAACCTGCCTGGCTAAGAATGCTATTCCTTTCACTGACAGCCTGACTATTTTAAATCGAGCAAAACAGAAACACACCTGTGACATACATAATCTTGCCAGGGCCCTCCACACTCACCCGGCTTCCATCTGGACGGACCTGAAGAGGCAGGTTGTTCTGAAAGTCAAACTGGACACAGATTTGTCGATTACTGGATACCCGCAGCACAGCCAGCTCCACTCCTCGGAGATATTGGATACTAGCTGAAAGGAAGAAATCTGCATTTTGTTCTAGGAATTTTAAATCTAGAAAATTTAACCCCATAACGATCTCCGGCACACTTGGGGCATACAACAGGCCTACTCTCATTCATTATAGCCCATCAGATAAAGCAGACTTGCTTATTCACTTGCTGACAGCCATCCTCAGATGAAGCTGCACCCCCATTAACTGCTGTGCCAATTCATAAAATACCTCAGCATGCTGTAGAAACTGGCATTGGAGAAGCTTCTTAAGACAAATAGAAACAGGCTGAGAAACGACAGGGGAGTGGTCATGGTTTAGGCTGACTTTTGTTATACGGCAATGGAGCAGGGACAGGAGAAAGGACCTTAATAGACAATTCCACATTTACTCTATTTCTTACACTGTAGGGCTGATATATCTGGTTCTGGTATCTCAAACACATAAATGTACTTACCTGAATACCTTACACCAATCAGCACATTTATAACTGTGTCCATACTAGAAGGCTGTGCCACTAGCTATATGCCTTCCTAAATTAATACAGTTACAGTGGTGCAAACCAAAGTCTACACCAGCCTTAAGACACATCTAGCAACGTACCATCTGGCTTTGCATAGAGAACTATTTTTCTTCTGCTTGATGCCGGTCAGTCTAGAATTACAGCCAACAAGAGTGGGAAAGGGGGCTAAGGGAGATTTCACAAGTAATTGAAAACTGAACAAAGGGGCAAAGTTGGAAGGTAACCACTATCTTCTACTGGCACTGGGCTGCATTTCCCAAGGTGCCAGCTCTGGAGCTTCCGTGGATATAATATAGGAGATTTATGTTAAAGGAACTGAATTTAATTATTCCACTCTGAAGAAACTTGCAGTGGACTTGAGACAACTGCACCTAAGCAACTGTGTGAGGTTTCTGGATAGACTGCTATCCAGTGGTAAATAAAACTTGTACATTTCCCATCTACTTGTCTTCATTTTTGGCTAAATTCCTCTCCACAAGTTTATGGTTTTAAAGACATGTCTTTTTACCATTAAACATGTTCCAACCCTTAAACAATGCTAGTAACTAAGCACATTTCTAGAAAGCTCCTTTTGCTGACAGCATGCAGACATATGTAAAACCAATTTCCAGTAAAATGCATGTGAACAGGATCAGTTTGGAACATCTCTTAGTACTGTACTTGGCATGTTCTAAGCATTTTATGTGCAATAAAAACCTAATTTAGTAATAAGAAAATCAGATTGTTTAGGGTGGCAGAATGCAGTCCCTCGGTCAGATATTGATGGCACTGGGAACTTGCCCTCAGCATGGGAGAGTTTAACACCATGGTTACATTTAATTTTTTTCCCCTTCTTCTATCTTTAAGCATTGTGCTTCCACTCAAACAACAGCACATGGTCTCTGATAAAGCCTGAGTGATAAGGAAGGGAAGAATTTCCCCTGGGGTTACTTACCTCATGGTCTCATGCCCAGTAGGTAAGCTGTCCTAAACCTATTTCAAAGCTAGACTAGCCAACAGCTTTTAATACTACAGTCTTATCACTATCTTTAATAGATCCTTAAGCTTTATAAACAGCTCCCTTTCCATATTGATGAATGATGATCACGTACCATCTGTAGCAACTTTCCATTCAATCCGCAGGACTGGGAGTAGCTTTTCCTCCTGATCACGGAAAACATCAGGGAAGACATCAAGAAAACTTGGTGCAGAGGGTGTCCATGTGGAACTTTGTAGCCAGCTCTCATCCATGCAGGTACCTGCCAGTCAAACCAAAGCTGTTTCTTAGAGCTGAGCAGGAAACCGTTTCCTCACTGGACAAAATTTAGATTTCAGGAGTTTTTCTGTTGTGTCAAACACTCCCAACCTGCTTTAGTTTAAGCTAATTTCCATCTTAGTGGGCACTGTACATTGTGGCTAGTTTGTACGGATCTGCTGGCTTCTGCTGGAGGACACAAAACCTGCTCAAGTGCATGGAGGTATGACTTCCTCTTGTGTGATTTGCACAGTATAGACACCTTGGTGATGAGTCACAGAAGAGATCTGCACAAAGAGCAGGTGGTCTTGATCATGGGGAGAGCCAGGCACACAGTATGTACGACATGTGAAGACTATAAGCTTTGGGTTTTCTGTGGAGACATACTTGTCTTTAAGTTCCACAAGGAAAAAGGGAGCACTGATAATTTAGTCTGAACTCCTGCCTAAAAGAGACCAGTTTCACTCAGTAGCTTCTGCATTTCTCGTTGGGCTAGACCTACCCTTGTTTAAAAATAAAATAAATAAATGAATAAATAAAATAAAATCAGATGACAGAGAATCTGTTGCATCCCTACATACACTATTCCAATGAATAACTATATTCTTTGTTGGAAACAACTGCCTTCTTCCTAGTCTGAATATGTCTAGTTTCATCTCCTAGCTACTGGCTCTTAAGTCTTTTCTGACTTAACAAATCCTATAGATTAAAATAATTCACGTTAGCCAATATGGTGCTACAGGAAATGGATCTTGTCATCTCATCATAAAATGAAATTAGGTTTGACAAGTTTGATAGATAGATGCAATATACACCGGATTTTGAAAAGCACCTGCCTTTGTATCACACAACACTGCAATTAAAAAAACACTATACAATATCAATAAAGTACACATGTAAAAAAAATAAACTAGCTGACAGATCTCAAAAAGTAGCTGTCAATAGGGAACCACGATCAAAAGCAGGTTTTTCTACTGAAGAATTGCAGAGATCAATTCTAGGCCTGATGATATTCAGTATTTTTAATCAGTGAGATAGATGTAAAAATAAAAATCACTGCTAAAATGTTATGGATGACAGACTCATCCACTCTTATTTACCACTACCACATGACAGACTGTCAGAGTGGTAAATGAGGACAGAGGGGTCACATACAGTGACCTGAATTACCTGCTAAATTGGACCCATTCAAACAAATGCATTAAGACAAAATGCAAGGTCATATAGCTGGGAACAAAGAATTCAGGCCATACCTGCAGAAAGGTCCTGTCCCCACTCCACTCCCATTTCCCATGAACAATCTCCTTCCTATGTTAAAACTTCTGTCCTTAAATGAAACCATCTCTTAACTCCTCTTGAACACATTTAAATAGACTGAGCTGCTTTAGTTTTACTACAAAGCAGGTTCTCTAGACCCTGAATCATTCCTATAGCCCTCTTCTGATTTATGAACCTCTTTTTATACAAACTAGGTACAATAATTGCACACTGGACTCTAGTAACTGTCTCACTAACACTATATACAGTATTATTAACCACCTCCCTCTTTCTGCTTACTCTTGTTTTCTTCTACATACAAGGAACTCATTTGTTCATCTAGTCACTACACTGCACTGAGAAGCCTGGTTCAGGTTGCTATCCCCCCTTGTCACAAAAAAAAAAAAAAAACTTTTACAAGCAGTGATTTTATATTTTCTTCCAGATCATCTATTAAAATATTGAATAGCATTGAGCCAGGAACAGACAAGATCCCTGGGCATGCCACAGATCACCTTTGAAAGTCAATTTGAAAGATTTATTGTACTTAAAAGTGCCACATTATTTTTGCAATACTGTTTTTAATAAGAATGCCATGTCATACAAAGTCAGTGCTTCACAGCAGTTGTAGTAGACTAAGTTACTTTTGTCAACCAGAGCTGAAGTCTCAATATATCAAGTTGGTTTTAGGAAAATAGGTCATATCAAACAATGCTGACTGGCTTTAATTCTATCACTCTCCTTCCATTCCTTATTGATTGTACTCTATATAAACTTTTCCATGATTCCCCCCAACCCATGATGTGTTAGCCTAACTGGCCTATACTTACCCAGTCATCCCTTTTACCCTTCATAAATATTGAAACATTAACTTTTCTACCCCTCTGGCTCAACCAACAGTTATGACATGCTTTGTCTATACTTTGAAACACTTGGGTGGCAAGTTATCTGATCCAGGGCATGTCTACATGAGACACTTGATGTACTGAAGACTAAATCTAGTGAGCATTAGCGCGGCTGGCAAAAACTGTGCTAATGCACAGTAGACTTGGTCACAAAAAAGTGTTCATCTGCATTAATGCACAGCAGCACTGATTATGGTGCATTAAGTTTAGTATCCATTATTACAGGTACTAAACTTAATGCACTGTAATTATGGTGCATTAATGGATGTGTAGACATGTTCCCCGAGAACAAAAATATTTAACTTTAGGAGTTCCTGTTTCATATTTAGTTTTCTAGTATAGTATGGAAATACATCCTCCAGTTACTTTCCAACATAGAACACATATTTAGTGAACATTTCTGCATTATTACTGATAATTTTATCACCTGTATTGATTAAGGGAGCTATTCCTCTTGTTCAATACCCTTTAAAAATTCGTACTGACCATAGGCTTTTTACTGGTATGCCTAGTCTCCCTCAGCAGTTGGCTGCAGTTCATATCTGCTAACTTACAGTCATTATTATCAACTTCTTTTTCCAAGTTACATTGTACAGTTCTTCATCATGCCTTGCGAATCCATTAAGTTCGCATCTAATTCTAAATGCTGATTTAGTAAGATTGGTGTGGGATGGATACACGTTACACACGAGCTTATCCTTAAAAACTATGGTGGGACCTTATTAAGACTGGCTCTATTTTGAACAGAAGTTAAATCATTTTGTAACTGTTCTTTCTGAGAACTCTGTTCTGAAATGCAGACAATCTCCAATTCCTCTTTCGGATGGAGTTGTTTTTGGATTCATGAGGTGAGCTGCTTACAACACTAGCCCTGACAATAATACTTAGTTCTACACCTTTCAGTGGTTTAAATAGAAACACTCAGCTTGTGAATTCAATTAAAAAACATGTCAAGAATGAAAACACCAGGAAGAAGAAAAAAGGACTTACTGTTTCTTACAAGGCAGTTTAGATCCTGTGGAGAAAAACAAGACAATCACTGAGGGAATAGAAATTGTTTTCAAATGTACTAGTCCTTCTTTGCTAACAGAGAGAAGGCAACCCAGCAAAAGCAAGTGTTTCTAACCAACAGATACAGGCTGGAAGTGACTTATTGTTACCAGTAAAAAGTAGCATAAATTTACCATCTAGACAAGCTAAGGGAGTAATCAAGTACAGGTTCTTGAAGGGTGAATTTAAGGTTGCAATAAGACAGAGAGAAGGTGAATTTAGGTTGAATATCAACAAACAGCTTCCCCAAATGAAGATCTATTAGACCACAGGTCTTTGCCACACAGCTGGCAAATTACAACCATCTAGCATCAATTAGGCTGGTCACTATCTCTGACTTTGGAGATGGGACTCACTTCATGTAAGCTCTATGAAGCAGGGCTTGCCACTATGGTATTTGATTATGCAAGGTATAAAGGGGCATCATTCGCTCTTTGGGTTGGTAAATACTATCACAATACTTAAGGTCACTTTAAAATCTTCATTAGACAAATCACTGGAGAACACCTAAGAGGGAACGCTTCTGCATTCCCTCAAGAGAAATGGATTGGAATGCTTAGTAGGGCTTTCCCATTTTTTGGATCTAGGATGGTATTAGAAATCCTGGTACTAAAATTCAGGGTGGCTTTGACTTAAATCAATGGTCAGGAAGTCTTAATTTAATCAGTTTTCTACAAAAAGTACATTCTTGTTGTATGATATAACCTACATTAAAAGATTCCCAAACAGGGTCTCTTATGGCCTGACAAGCCTGCTGCCATGAAAGGTTTTCCCTTTTACCACGCTATTCCCTTGCTAAATCTCAAATCAATGGAGAGGCTATACTCAGAAACTTATTCCTCAAGACTCCTGGAATATTCTGCTCAAAGTGTTTCTCTTTTTGTTTCTACAGCCCCTCCCTCCTTGCATTTATCTCCAGATTCCTCCTCCTTGCCCAGATCTACTCCACCCACAGCAATCCTCTATTCATTTAACTTCTTGAAACTTTGCACTTTCAGAGAGAAGCAAGGGATTGACTGTGTGTACACAAACTTGCAGAGAGACAATAGGGGTGATGGGTAGGTAATCAGGTCTGTTGTCTGTCATCTCTTGTAAGTATATAAGGGGTATATATCTGGGTCTGGATGAACGCCTGTTCACCAGACTGCCCCATGGGATGACAAGGTCAAAAGTTCACAAACTCCTCCAAGACCGTTTCAGGCTGGACAGAAGGAAGAACTTCTTTACTGTCCGAGCCCCCAAGGCCTGGAACAAACTGCCGCCAGAGGTGGTGCAAGCACCTACTCTGGACTCCTTTAAGAGTCAATTGGACGTTTATCTTGCTGGGATCCTGTGATCCCAGCTGGCTTCCTGCCCCTGGGACACGGGGCTGGACTCGATGATCTTCTGAGGTCCCTTCCAGCCCTAACGTCTATGAAATCTATGAAGTCTCCATATACTGCTGTGAACAAGGATGTTATCTCTGGAGACACAAATCCAGTGTGAAACTAAGCATCACAGAGATGCTTAATAGGATCTTCTAGACTGAACACTGAGTCCCATTGGGTAGAGTTTTTTTTTCAATCTTTACTAATATATAGAGGAGCCTCTGGGAACCCCATACATTTTTAAAGTTGACCTACAAAAAGGAGGTGACAGAAGAGGGACAGACTACTTCAACTGCTGTCCTTTTATACTTTATGAAGAAACAAAATGGTCTGAAAGAGTAGAGGACACACAAATTTTGCTTAGTTTTCTGCATTAGAAACTCATGTCTTGTGTCCTTGTATTCACTAGGAAAAGGGTGCACAGTGAACTGAAGTTAGCCAACTTTAGTTCTAGCAAGGTAAAATCCTAGTGACGGTAAAGTAGTTTACTTTGAATTGCTATAATTCAGTAAACCCCAAACACACTTGGTTTCCCTTGGCCTCTAGTCAAGTCTTCACCTAGAAAAAGACACATCTTACTCATTAAGATTCTAGTAGGAACACACCTCTGTGGTTTCTTACCTCACTGTTACTAGTCAAGGTCAACCACAGGCAGGGGATATCAACTATGACAAATTCTGAGGTAAAAACTGCATGTGTCATCTCCTCTAGATTTTACGGAAAGGTAGTTAACACGTTTACCTTCAGATAATTTACTGGGGGAAAACAGACTACAATATCCATTGCTAGGTTTCAGCACTAAGGAAAACTGCAAAGCATCAGATCAGCAGTTCCCAACCTTGGGGTCACAGATAATGAATGAAGTTGTGCACTCCTAGGGAGGCAGGCATGGTGGGGGAGGGGGGAGGGGCATGTGCTCCTCAGATCTGTCCTCTTCCTGGCAACTTTGCAGCAGAACAGGGCAGGGAGGCTTGGTGCCACTGGCAGAAGCCCCATGTCAGCTGTGCCACCATGGCAAGGTGTCCCTTGCCTGCCTGGCAGCAGTAGGAAGCACAATTCTGCACTGCTGCTGCCAGGTGGGCAAGGGGTGCCTTGCCATGATGGCATGGAGTTACCAGCAGCAGCACCACCAAGCCTCCCCACCCTCCAGCACCGGGGCCCACTATCTGGGCCGTGGAGGCCCTCATAGAGAGGGCTGCAGGGCAAGGAGTCCCCAGCTGGCAGTGGGCAGCCTGCATCCTCCCCCTTGCCTCCCATGGGTTCTACTTTGCCCATGCCACCCATGGGGGGAGGGGGGAAAGAGGGGGAAGCTGGGCTCTGTGCTTTGCTCCAGCCATAGCAGCTGCTGCCTCCTGCAGGTGGCAGCTGGGGCTCAGGTGCTGCTGGGTGGGGGTTGCAGGCCCTGGCCCCATAGTCCTGGCAGCTGGAGGCCCCTGCTGGTAGGGCGGGGGGGGGAGGAGGCTGCAAGTGAGGGGCACCAGCAGGGGTGGGAAGTGAGGGGTACTGGCAGAGCCAGGGGGCTATAGGTGGGGAGTGAGGGGCACCTGGAAGGGGTTGGGGCTGTGGGAAGTGAGGGGTCATGCTGAGGAAATGGAGTCATAAATGGGTTCACGATGAGGAAAAGGTTGGGAAGTATTGTGTTAGATCATGTTCTTGTTTCCCACTGAGGTCAGTCTATTTCTACTGTCCTGGACCTAAGCAAAAGCACCACCAAAAACTCTGGTTAATTGTCCTTCTAAAGGGCAGAAGAACTCTCTTGCATGGCAGTGGTTCCTAATCTCTGGTACAGGTACCACCAGTGTTATGCAGACAACTTGGCAGTGGTGCACGTTAACAGGTTTATTATAAAGTAATTATATGACAAAAATTTGCTGGTGGTACTCAGGGTTGTATCATTTTAAATTGGTGGTGTGTAATTTGTCAGTTTGGGAACCTAGGGTATTCCTGATGTTTTGGATACAATACTTTATAGCTGCAGGTGAGAGTTTGAAATGATGATTGCGAGTAGTCCTTCAACTGCCTGGGACCTGGACTTAAGGGGTCTGGAGGCCTTATGCAGTTCTAAGCCCTATCATGAACAGAGCCCACTGGTGCAATCACTTTCAGCTTCAAAATAATACCAACGAGGTATACTTAGTATACTAAGTATAACATACTTGTTATGCGTGTTTATCTTTCAAGCACTTAACATAGTAAGCTAAAAGATAGTCAAGTAAAACAAATCAGCTGAAGCAAGATTGATGCATGGCATTCAGGCTGACTGAGGAGTGCTCACGAAAAGAGGGTGCAGCACCAATTTAAATTGGTGTCACTGATATAGAAAAGCTCTACATTGGCTTTCTAAATACTATCAGGTTTAGATAAGTCTACGTAAACAGTATGGACGTTTGCTTAGATTGAAACACTCCCATGTAACACCTGCAATGCAAATACTGCAGGCACTTTGCTAGTGAGTAAGAGCTAAAAAGCGATTAGGCAAATACCATGGAAACCCAACTGAAGCTAGCTAATCTGCATCTATTTCACTTTGTGCTAATCTATAGCACAAAGTGAGAAATGTAATACATTAGCAATATTGACAATAAAATACCTAAGAACATAAAAAGTGCTATACTGGGTCCAACCAATAGTCCATCTAGTCCAGTATTCTGTCTCTGACAGTGACAGAAATGGATGATATAGAGGAAAGGCATTGAAAAGGATCTCTCTAGTGATGTATTCCTTTTCCAATATCCTTCCTTGTATCCACCATTACTGGTTTAGAGATGTTACCATTCTGTTCAACAGACATTAATAAATCTATAACATATAAATTTACCCAGTCCCTTTCTGAACCTGGCTATGCTATCTGCCTCTACCACCTCCTTTGGCAATGAATTCCACAAGTTAACTACATGTTGCAAAAAAGTATTTTCTCTTGTTAATTTTAAACCTGTCACCTACTAATTTAAGCAGGTGCCCCCTAGTTCTAGTATTCCAGGACTTGGGGAACAACACTTTCCTGTTCACTTTGTTTCAGTGTTGCCAACTCTCATGATTTTTGGTGTTGTTTTTGTGTACAGATTTAAAGAATATTTAATGGAACATTTTACCTGATGATGCCTCTTTGATCAATAAGTTGTGACAACTTTTTTGGGGGGAAAGTTTAACAAAATTACTTAAGTTAAAAACTGTCACTTACATCTGGGGTTTTCAACCTTTTTTAAGGGTGTACCCCTTTTGGTGGTGGCAGCCGGATGCTGAGCAGGGGGGTGGGGGTTGTCTGGACGCAGAGTGGCTTATGTGTGGCGGTGGTAGCATGGGGTGGTGGATGGCAGTGGTGGCTACTGTGTGAGAGCTCCCCCATATCTGGCTGGCCAGACGGTGCCTGTGCAGCCAGCAGAGGGGAACTGTTGCCCTTGTCCCCTCCCCCTGCTCCTGGGAGGAGGCGGTGCAGGGTGGTTGGTGGCAGTGCTCCATCCCCACCTGCCCACACATACCCCCAGCACCTTTCCAAGTACCCCCGACTTACATCATGGCTGTCAAACTGGTAGCCTGGGGGCTGTGTGTGGCCTATGAGTTGTTAACATGTGGCTTGAGGGACCCAGTGGCCACCTCTCCCACAGGTGTGCAGCAAGGG